GGTTATGTGCACATGAGTTCAGGTGCCTTTGGAATCCAGAGGCATTGGATCCTCCTGGAGTTGGAGTTGCATGCAGTTATGAACCACCTGATGTGGGTGCTGGACACTGAACTCGGGTCCTCTGCAGGAGCAGTATGCACTCTTAACCACCAAGCCATCTCCTCAGCCCATTAATTTTTATTTATTTGTATTTTATGTGTATGAGTGCCTTGCTTGAAGAAGTGTAAGTGCATTACAAGTGTACAACGCCCGTGGAAGCTAGAAGAAGGCATTGGATCCCTGGAACTAGTTATAAGCTGGTTAACCATGTGGGTGCTGGGAAACAAACCCAGGTCCATATATGTTATCTACCTGATGCAAAGTAAGTGCTGTGGCAATAGTTATATTAGGGAATAGTAACAGGAAAAAGTCTGTAAATGCACAGTACAGATACAAATTGTTTTGTTTTGAGAGAGGATCTCCCTGTAGCCCCAGCTAGCCTGGAAGGTGCTATGTAGACCAGGCTGGCCTGGATCTCAGAGATCCATCTGCCTCTGTCTCTGGAGGTAGAATTAAAGGTGTGTGCTATATTGCCCTGCTTTACAGATGCAAATTTTAAAAAATATTTCAGGTGTGTTTGGTTGAATTTATAGATCTGGAATCTGCAGAGGACTGATTTGTAAAAGCCCATCATTCCCCTCCCTTCAACATAGTTTAGAGTCCAAGCTACCTCCTCAAGTACAGGCTCTGGTCTTTTTCCCACTCAAACTCCATCCTCTTGTCTTACCTCTGCTCCTTCCGCCCTCTCTGGGCCACCAAGATCTCTCACCTGGACAGTTGCAAGAGCTCCCAAAGTGTCTCTCTAGTCACACTTGAACCAGCCTGCCCAGAACAGCCCTCAGCTACTTTCCAAATGTGAATATCATCTCTCTTTCTCAATAGCTCCCACTGCTCTCAAGAAAAGGCCAACATCCTTAGCAAGGCCAGCCCTGCAAGACTTACACAGATCACTACCTGTCCACACACATCCTCAGCCTTCTCCAGCCACTATCTCCCTCCCCTTCTCTTTTCTCCTCTAGGGCCTGGGCCCTGTGCAGTTCCCTCTTCTTCTCCTACTTAAGGCTACGCATTCTGCGGTCCTATGTAATTCTCCAGTCTGCAGGGAACTCCCTCCCCCAACCTGGATTCTCTTCCTTGATCTAAGTACTCTCTCCTTGCCCTTCATGGTGCTCCCCCGTGCTACCTTCCCGAAGTGTTTATTCATTCAAAATCAGTCTGACCTGCTACCAGTGCGGAAACCATGCACATTTTTTTTTCTGGTTTGAGGTTTTTTGTTTTGTTGTTGTTGTTGTTTTGAGACAGGGTCTTACTGTGTATCACTGGTTGGCCTGGAACTTGCTATTTAGACTACACTGGCCTTGAACTCACCTGTGTCTGCCTCCTAAGTCCTAGGACTAAATGTGTACACCACCATGCCTGGCCCAACCATGCATGTTTTTCTGCCTGTATTGTATTTTCTCACTCAGTGTACTTGCCTAGAAGTCAGCAGGTACTCAAACATCTCCAAATGAAGGAAGCACCTACATGCTAACTTCAAGGGCTCAACCATCAGGCCTTAAATAGCCTAGGGCTTCAGAACCAACAAATCCCAGGGCCATCAAGCAGTCAGAAGAAGGGAGAGTTTAGATGCCTTAGAAGGTTTCCCAGACAAAATTCCTGAGCAAAAACTTTGGTTTGGTCTTTTCTGTAAAATATTAGTTGTCCTCAGTCTTAAGATCTCCCTGACCCCACCCCCACCCCACCCCATTCCCACTGCTAGTTTCCTGACCCGTCTTTCAAATCAAACATCAACAAAACACACATGTATATTCCTATGTCTTTGTATCTTTCACTCTGAAGTTTTCTGGGTCATCTAATGCTATAGTTAAGTAAATTTGCAATATTTTTCTCTTGCTGATCTGCTTTTGTCACAGGGAGCCAGCTAGCCTTGAGCTGCTGGTGCACTCACTTCTACTTCCCAAGTGTCCAAGTGTCAGAATCATGGATGTCACCACCCTGTGCCTGGAAAATCTTTCTCTGTGTTCCCTCCCCTTTGGCTCCCTGTTACACCTTTTGTTTACATTCACTACAGCACTGAGCACACCACCAGCTTAAACTGGTTGCAAGGGAGTTCAAGTTCCTCAAAGGGGCAGCATTATCTCTTCCCAGGGCAAAGTCATTTGCAATGAGTTATAAATTCCTTCCACTGTGGAGGTATTAGCATTCCATATACAGGTACCTGGAGTTCAAGATGAACAGTTCCAATTAGGAATTCCCAAAGGATGGGGAAATTTTATACACACACACACACACACACACACACACACACACACACATACAGAGATACAAAATATATACATAGATATCTACTATGTATCTATGTATATCCAATTCAGTTCAATCCAACCTCCTTTGGGCTCCGCATATATGAAATAAGTGCAGAGAAGTCTCTAAGATGAGCAGAACCCTCAGAAGTAACAAAGCCGGGAGGCTGTGTGGTTTCTTCATTCATCCCAAGCCTGCCTCATATCAGTTCAAACAAACAAAATGCTGTTTACTCCATGGATTGATTTAGGCCTGGCTATCCATAAAGGGTCTTGTACAATTTGACAGTGACGGGAGATCCTCAAAAGGGCTCTATGCTATGATTCAGTTTCCATGAAATGTCCGGAAGAGGCAAACCCGGAGACAGAGAATATGTGACTGTCAGAAGCTGGGAGCTGGGGAGAAGGTAAGAGAATGCCTCCCGAAGAGGCCTGGGTGTCTTTGGGGATGATAAAACTGTCCTGAAATTAGAGAGTGGAGATGACTGCACAACAGTGAACATACAAAAGTCCCTGAGATTTACAATCTAAAATGGTTAAAATGACAAATGGTTAAATGACAAATGATAAATTTGTATCTCAATAAGCAAAAATATGCCTGCGTCTTACCTTCTTTCCAAAGGTTAACTAAAAATTGTTTATATGGTTTCACAGACACAATATTTAAAACAGGAAGGGATCCTCCTTTATAAAAACTTAAGAATGAGTAGCCCAACATACCACAAGGGGACAAAGAGGCAAGACTCTGTCCCCCACAAGAGCAGGCCATCCTGGCTCCACTGATCAAAGGAGATCCATGTGGATGGGGGTTGGAGATGACAGAATCCAATGCCAACACCTCTTGGGAGCTCAGAGGACAATTAGGCACAATCAGGCAAGCAAGAGAGCACACAGATACCTCACAGACAGACCTGGAAACAGTGACAGTAAAACAACTGGCTGTTGAGTGGCATAATCGCTCACAGTGAGGTTCAGATTCAACCAAGAGAATCTCTTTGAGTATTGAGTTAAAGATCTGACACCTTAGAAATAAAGCATTTCACAAACTCTGCTGAAATAAGAAATACTTCTTTAAAAAAAAAAAAAAAACAAAAAAAAAAAAAACCAGAAGATTGGTTTTAGAACGAGCTATATGATCCTGGATAGTAGAGATTTTGCATTGCAAGCTTAATATAACCAAATCAGATTTGAGAATTACTCTGAGGTGGGATTTAGTGTAGCACTTTTGTTTGCATGTGGAACAGACACATATATTCATATATACTTGGTACATATGCATGTATATATAAATACATTGTCTTCCAATGGAAGGAAGGCTTTGAATCACTTGGTATTTCTTTTTTCCAAGAGTCTTATACTGATTACGAAGATGCAACAGCTCACAGAATATGGTGCTAACAGTTTATGGCCAAACACTCAAGAAAGGAAATAACTGAAACACATACACACATGATTTCCTTAAAGTTATGGGAAATTAAGTAGGCACAATTGATTGTTCTGAGCTGGAAGGGAACGTTGGGTAGCTAGCATAGGTCTGAACAACAATTGAGAGCCCACAGCAAGGACCACGCCATGATCAGCCACCAGAGATTTGGGGTGTAGACTTACCCAGAGCATCCACTGGCAGGGGCGCAGGGTGAGAAAGTACAGGATACACAATTGACACAAAAAGGAAAACGATAAAGTCAAACTGGTATTCGCAGTATCTGCTTTAACTTTTGCTCACGTGTGAGACAGATGATAGCTTGATTTATATTCCAGTGATCAAACCCACATCCACTGAGAGCTGCACAGCCAAGCTCCCCAATTCCTGCCTGCTTAATATTCTTTCCATCTCATCCTTTTCTTCTGTCCTTCCCAGTCAGTGATTTCTACACTTAGAGGACGAGGATTTGGTAAAGAGAGATGAAGAATACGTACCTAGGCCAATTCAGATACCTTAGCAAGAAAACCTTTCAAGTATGATTTATCATAACTTATGTATATAATTCTAACTTTACATAGAATGAAACTTTTAAAAAATTCAGAAACCCAAATTTTTAACATAATATTAAATATTCTATTGGCATGGAACTCTGTGAGCCTTCCCCCCCACCCCCGCTCCAAAGCATTTATTAGCCTGGTTTTGCAGATACTAGTGAAAAAAAAATCATGGATTCAACTATTTAAAGGGTTAACATATCACCATTCCAGTTTTCTTTTTCAAAGCAAATCCCTGACAAACTTTTAGGGCTTACAGGTGGAAACAGAAGGATTTATCCTAATTCAATCTTTATTTCTATTTTTATTGTTTTGCAGTGCTGAGGATCGAACCCAGGGCCTGTGCATACTAGGCAAATGGCCTACCACACTGAGCTACATCCTGAAAGCAATTTTTAAAATTTGAATTAATAAAATAGGTGCTGGGGCTATAGCTCAGCGGCAGAAAACCTGCCTAATACGCATGAAGTCCCTGGATTTGTCCCTGAACAACATGCACACACACACACAAATACAAGCAATGATAATAATGTGCGTTAATTAAATAAGAAAATATGCTGATCTTACACAGTGATATAGCAAAAATAGGTGTAGCTTGAAGCACCCCCTGTTTCTGATCCTCTGCTACTTTCCCTGTTGGGGCCCCAAAGGCTTGACCAGGAAGTGTGTCCAAGTTACACTCTTCAGAGTTCAGGGCCAGTAGGCCAGCTCCACACTTCTCTAGCTTCTTCTTTATGAAGGCTGGATCTGCACTATGCCTTTGACCCAGTGCCTTAGACTAGAACGTCCCTCAGGGTGAAGCCATGTCACTCCGATCCCTGACGCCCTGCTTTGTGTGCACTCCTGTTAGGCACTGGACAAGCCTGCCTTCAAGAAAGAAAAAGTCTGGCACATTCATCTACAGACAACACAGATTCCAAGTCGCTTTATAATGACTTGGGGATCAAATTTAACAAACGACAAGCCACTTAAAGTGTCTGTGACAGAAATATTGAAGTACTTTTCGATTAAAAATTGCCATTCCCTACAGTTTAAAAAAACTGAGTAAGAAAAAAAAAAACTGAGTAAGAATGTGATAAAGGATTTTGTTTGCAAAGTTAAGAAGTAGGGGAATAAACTGCTCACAAGCCACATCCTGTATGGCGTGCCTGCCTAAGTCAAGGACAAGATGAACACCAGGCTGATCTGCACAAAGGCATTTGAAATATCAGATGGAGAGTGAGAAGAATTTCTAAATCCAAGCTCATTTTCTGAAAAAGAGGTAGTAGAAACTGCTTGAGAGTGTCCTGGGAATGTATTAAAACCAAAGTGACTGTGTAAGTCAGGCTCAGTTTACCAAGACACACGAAATGACACAGCCAAAGCCTGCATCCCATCTAACTCATAACATTTCACAATCAAGAGTCCAGAAACATGCCACTTGAAAGATATGGACAGTCACAACAGGTTTTCTAACAGAATGGGAAATACCAGCTACCCAGAACCCCAAACAACCAAAGTCTCAGATTTCTTCTTGTTCTTAAAGAAGGCAGGTCCATTCCACTCTGGGGTCAGACACCTGCTAGGAGAGCACTCCACAAGAGCCTGGGCAGAATGATGAGTCTAGTCCCTTCTAGAAGGCTATGCTCACGCCCAAATCATATAAATATGAGTACCTGATCTAAGAATGCACTTGAGTGCTTTAGGGAAAAAAATTACAAGGAAATCAAACGAGTTCTACTTGTAACTAGAAACTTATGTCTAGAGTAACTAGAAAATTACCCGGAATGCTGCCGGCTACTAACTGGTCCTACAGATATTAACACAGGACCTGGAGGGTGAACATGGTTAGGACTACAAAGGTCATTGCTTCAGAACCCCCTGATCATAGCCTCTACTCACTCAGCCTCGGGCACCAGGAGACTTCACAATTCAATGCCAATTACTTCCAAATCTCAAGGCTAGGCTCATTTCATGTTTGGTACAGTCCAGTGCCCTGAGTCCTGAATCTTCCTTTCTGGGCTGGACAAACAGCTCATTAGCGTCCAGGCAGCCTACACCAGCACTAGGCAGGTCTAATTGCCACAACTTTCTTTAATGTTACACTGTGACTGAGCCACTGGGTTTCAACTAGAGGTCCAAATTCTGCTAATTTGACAATGCCAGTGACTGAGTGGCAAATGAGAACCCTCTCAGCTTCTGTGTTGGGCTTAGTTATCTCTGCAACTCTGGAAAGAGACCCCTAGGAGGGCTGAGGGAAAATAGCTACTTCTGCTGACATCCTTTCCCACAAGCTCCCAAACCCTTTCTAAGCCTAAGTATCTTGCCTGGACCACATCTTCAAGCCCATTCTCTCTCCTAGCTCAAAGCTGCCAAGCTGTCCATCTCTAGGTGGACAGCCTGCTCTTCCAGGAGCCTCAGATTGATGGGATATGATAGCAACTTTATTCAGTTACCTTCAGACTCAAACTGTGCTGGCCAGAAACCCTGTAACTTATCAAACCCAGCTCCTCAGTGCCCCTCATGAGATAGAATATTAAATTGGGATGCACCAGAAACACACATACCAGAGAAACTACAACAGCCAAGAAGAACAAGAAATCTGACTGTGGGTGAAAACCCTGCTGCCTTCATCTTGAAATAGGCTTGAGGTGGTTGTGAGACTTGAAAAGAAGGAACCCTTTAAAAAGTCAGCTGAGTGTGGTGGTGCACACCTTTAATTCCAGCACTCAGGAGGCAGAGGTAGGCAGATTTCTGTGAGCTGGAGGCCAGCCTGGTGTACATAGTGAGTTCCAGATCAGCTTGGGCTACAGGAGATCCTGTCTTGAAAAAGAAAAAAAAGGCCAAAGCTTACAAAGCTTCATCTTGCCATCATCTCCCACCACCAATGCCTTCTTGAAATGTGTTTTCGTTCTATTCCAAATAAGCACTGCTTGTTGAGGAAAGAGTGTGGAGTTCTCTCCCTAAAGATGTTGCTTTGAACAACCTTCAATACCATCATCTACAGGCTGGAGAGATGGCTCAGTGGTTAAGAGCACTGGCTGCTCTTGGAGAAGACCTGGATTCAGTTCCCAGCACCCATATGGTAGCTAACAACCATGTGTGCCATGTGTAACTCCAGCTCCAGGGAATCTGATACCCTCTTCTGACCTCCAAGGGCATTGGATCACAGGGGTGCACTTATATACATGCAGGTAATACACTCATATAAAATATAAAAAAAAAAAAATTTAAATGCCATCACCCACAGAGCAACCCAAAGGAAAAAACTCCATCTTATCATCAGCTGAGATTTTTTTTTTTTTTAAAAAAAAAGCAAGTTCCAGGCCAGTCAGGGCTACAGGAAACACTGTCTCAACCTCCCTTCCCCCAAAATATGGCAATATTGGCCAACTCAAGTGAGATGTCTTGCATTTCCTATCTTAAGAAAATGTTACGAATGCTTGCAAAGTGAATACAGCTACATTTTCTTCGCTCTTCAAACTCCATTTTGGAGGAGCAAAGACGGCTCATGGATGTGACAATTCATTGATCTATGAAGATGATGAACTAGAAAAGGGGTAGGAAGAGGGGCACCTTGTATGTTCGTAGCTTCCCTTAGTGGTGAATCATCATGCTCTACCCTTATAAACACATGGAAAATCTCTTAGACAGAAAGGCAGTCTCCAGGCAAAGAGGAAACCTCCAGGCTCCCTCCACAGCCAGTAGTAACAAGACTTAATAGGGGGTTTCAGAGATTATAGACTATGAAAGATGAAGGCAAAAATGACATCATTTCTGTAATAATTACTGTAGAACATTTGCATAAAGGCTCCTTGCATTATCCCAGGGCTTCCAAGAAATTTGTATGTTTTATTGCAAAGCACAGCAGGCAAGGAACTGTCAGATTCTGAAGACAGAGGAGGGGGAGGACGGTCAAAACAATAGTCCACAAGGGCTTTGCACTGACCCAAGTCCTGCGCTTTAAGAATTTTAATGGGATAGGAGCTACTTGCTCCTGTCCCTTCTCCAGGGCCAACCTACCTACGGAAGCCCAAAATCACATGGCTTCTTCTTCGAAGACACGCCAGCATATACTCACTTTCTCTCAAAGTCACACTATCATTGCCAGAATTTGCAGTTACCTTTTTTTGCTTTCTTCTGCAGCTTCAGTGTATCGGAGGACTTCTTTTTTATCTCTTGGCGAGCTTTCTTATATTCTAAGGGAAAGCAGAATATTGAATAATTTCACCACTTTGCTCAGCCTTCAACCCAAAAAGCACAAACTCAGACGCCCAGTAAATAGCTATATCCAAACATGCTACAATCAAAATCTCACAGTGACATTTTACAACAGAGACGCTACTGACATGAAAAACAAAACACACAGTTCTTCCTTCTCCTGCTCACTCTGAGAGAAGATGTCATTCGGGAATAGTTTAATAAAAACAAATCAGTCTCTCAGCTAAAGTCGGGAAAGACCTTCAATGTTACCTACTTTCCTGAGGCATGCAGGGTCTGAGACATATTTGTTCAGGGTACAAATACAAACCCTGACCAGAGTTTCCCTAAAGCCCAACTCTGTGTCACTTCCGTGTTCAAAAACATACACATGGGGCTGGGGGCTGGTCAGTGAGTCAAGAGCTTGCCATGCAAGCATCAGGACATGAGTTTGGGTCCTCAGGACTAATGATAAAAAGCCAGGCACAGCTGCAAGTCATTTGTAACTTCAGGGCAGTGGAGAGGAAACAAGGAATCCCTGGAGCTCGCTGATCACAGTCTACACAAAATGGCAAGCTCCAGGCTCAACGAAGAGACACCGTCTCAAAATAAGGTGGACAGTGTTTGAGGAAGACACCTAATGAATGTCAACCTCTGGCCTCCTGTAGTGGTTTGAAAGAGAATGTCCCCCATAGGCTCCAAGTATTTGGACATTTTGTCCCTAGTTGGTGGCGCTGTTTTGGGAGGTTTTAGAAGGTGTGGCCATGCAGGAGGAAGCACGTCACTGAGAGTGGGTTTAGAGAGTTCTTAAGCCTTGTTGGATCTCCAGCAGCTCTCTGATTCCTGTGTCTGCATGAAGATGTGAGATCTTAGTTCTGTCCCTACTCCAGCCACCTCTGCCACCATGCCTCCCCACCATGATGGACTTGTGCCCCTTTGGAACCATAAGCTAAATAAACTCTTCCTTTTATAAGTTCCCTTTGTCATGGCGATGGTGTTTCTATCACAGCAAAAGAAAAATAACTAATACACCACAACAGGAACTCTGTCCCACACATGTGCGCACATCTCCCTCCCCACTCCCCAGCCTCATCCTAGCTACTCCTTTGCAGTAGTGCAGGAAACCCTTACCAGGATGGGGAAGGTCTACTACTGGTGGCTTTTGCTGCATTTCTGAATTTCTCCCATCTTACCTGTCTCTTTACATGGCTTTCTATCTAGCCACTATCTCCCCACTGCTTCACATTCATTAGGATGTCCCTTAAATGGTACCTTGTTTTCCCGATTCCTCAACAAACTTGCACTCATCTACCTACCATGGAACTCTGGCTCCCTCATGCCCCATCCTACACCCTGCTGTGTGGTTCTATGGCCTCCCCAGGGGAAGCAGTGGTGCCCTGGTCTCCTCTGCACACCTTGGGATGCTGGGGAGTAGTGTGACCTGTGTGATCACTTGCTGGCACATGCTTGGTGAGTGAAGGCTGAACTGAAAAGGTGAAGAAATACTTTCTTACAAAGACTGGAAGAGGTTGGTACCCTAAACCCCCAGGGCCTTTCCAGACAGAGGCCATCTCACAAGCCAATATCCCCCATAGGCTCAAGTATTTGAACACTTGGTATATGGTCCCAGTTGGTGGCACTGTTTGGGGAGGGTCATGGAACCTTTAGAAGGCATGGCCTTGCTGGAAGAAGCACATCACTAAGGGGCTGGCTTTGAGAGTTCATACCCTTGTCCCACTTCCGGCTTGTTCTTTCTGATTCCTCCATGTTCATGAAGATGTGAGCTCTCAGCTTTCTGCTCCAGCCACCTCCTGCCATTCTTCCCCTCTATGGTGGACTCTTATCCTTCTGGAACTATGATCCCAATAAACTCTTCCTTCTATAAGCTGCCTTGGTCATGGTGTTTTGCCTCAGCAACAGAAAGCAAACTAATATACTAACAAACGGTCTAAATTTATACTTGGGCCCAGGCTGTCTTGGTATGATTATAAACATAAAGGAAGGAACTGAGAAACATTTCTCTGCATGTACTTGGGAATATTCAGTGACCATCAAGGGACCTTTGCTTTACTGGACAAACACAGATCAAGCAGAGCCTTTTGCCAGACCTGCTAACCTTCCTCCTATAAGCTAAGAAGAATGATTCTGACACAAGCTTTCCACATCCAGTTTTAACATCTCTTTCGTAAAGTCACGTTTGCGGTGTTATTACACAGATACATTTAATGAACAAATCAAATATAAATTATCAATTCTTTCACCAGCTGAAAAGAACGTTCAAATGTTTCTAGTTTCTTTAACCTAATGAAACTAAAGTGATTAGCAGGCAGTGAGACAATAGGTCCAATAACTCTGCCTGCATCCTTAACTTCACATGAAAAGCTAAAGCCTTTTTTAGGATTCTTTCAAACATAAAAGCTAGATCCCAGATGAGAAATACCACCAGAAATGGATCCTAAAGAAGGAAAATCCTTTAAAAACAACTTTAGAGGAAACACAAGATTCAGTGTGCCTTTTCCCTGTTGAAGGTACATTATAACTTTTTTTAAAAATTGGGAGTAAGAGGAATAAAGGGTTTTATGTTAACTTTGAAAGGCGCTTGCTATATATCTGACTACTACACCAGTACTCTTGAGCTCGCAACACACACAAGCCACCGCTGTGCTGTTTTACTGCATCATTTCATCAAAATGCTTCACTGAAATGCTTCAAAAGACTGGTTTCTAGTAAACATGACCCCCCATCATGTGTGATTAACGATTTTTAGAGGTCATGAACCAACTCAAGGTCAATTTATGTATTTTGTGGCTCTAGTGAGTGTACAGACAAGAAACATGAAGACTCAGTCACTCAGGGTGCATGAATGGGAAGGACTGGGATGGGTGTACAACTTCCCAATTACTGACGGTTACTGATGGCTTCCAGGGATGTGGAATAATCTTCACGGTATAGCCTGAAGTAGACACAAGAAACCATCTCCATTACCATAAAGCAGCCAATCTCAGGAGCAACCTAGTGTGGTCCATCCTCACTCCCTGAGCAAAGGCTGGTTCTTCACTGTAGCCTTTACTGTGCTGTGTCTTGTAGGATCCCTTTGTTCCTGTATTAGTAGATACCACACCTATCTTTGTAGCCACTCCATAACACCCAGCACACAAAGAACCTGAGAACTAGCCAGGTATGATGAAATGTGTCTGCCACCTCAGCACTTGGAAGACTGAGGTGGGAAGATCATTTGAGTTTAGGAGTTCAAGACCAGTCTAGACAATGTAGTGGAGCTGCATCTAAAAATAGCAACCAACCAGTATGACCTAAACAAGGGACAAGGCCTGATGCAATACACTATCACTTGAAAGTGTATCAATGTTGTTTCTTCTGCATATCATACCTAGTCCCCTCTCAGACCATCAGGACCCCCCAATGAGTAATTAAAGCAGTTCACAAAGACTTGTGCTACCCAAGACAATACACAGAGAAGATAGTTCCATCTAGATGACCTAAGGTCAGTGTATACCATGAGAGTCCTGGCCTTCAAAACATTCCAAAATGACTTAAATATGTATGTTTGGCATTGAGCCCACCACTACAATTCACATTTAATTCAAGAAACTGCAAAGCCACAGAGCAGTCAAATGACCAGCTGCTGAGTGATGACTCATGCCAATCAAACAGCACTCAATCTTACAATGGGAATACTTGAAAGCCTTCATTTCCTAAAACCAAAATGCCTATGGGAGGAGCAGGGACAGAAGGCCCTGAGCTGCTTGGGTGACAACAGCTAACCCAGCAGAGGTGCCTGGCTGAAGTCAGCAACATGCACAGCTCTTCTCAGAGTGCAGTGAGGACCACTGTGCACACAGAAGCCTCTTGCTTGTACCTTTTGCATGGTCCTTGTCCAGCTGGTTGGCCACTTTCTTCCATTCTTCCATCTGTTCTTGAAGTGGGTTTATCAGGCAATCAATTAGAGCACTTTTGCCAAAAGAGAAAGAAAAGATGAAATTAAACAGATGAAATTAAACAGATATATTCTGCTGTCAAGCTTTACACTAGATAGTAGGCATAGTGTCAGGTGCCTGTAATGATCAATTTCAGCACCTGAGAGGTGGAGGCTGAAGGATCAGGAGTTCAAGCCTAGCTGGACTACATAAGAACCTTCTTCAATCTCCCCCTTAAAGATTTATATTTAAGGGTGAAAGTATAGTTAAATTGCAAGGCAGCACAATAGGCCACCAGTCCCCCAAAGGCCACCTTCAGAACAGACTTGGTCTCTGGATGTTTTCAGCATATAACTTTTTTTTTAATAGATTATTTTTATTTTATCTGTATGAGTGCTCTGACTGTATATACATGCACCACATTGTGCAGTGCCTGTAGAAGAAGCCAGAACAGGAACTCAGATTCCCAGGAACTGGAGTTGCAGATAGTTGTTAGCTGCCGTGTAGGTGCTGGGAACCAAATCCAGGTCCTCTGGAAGAATAGCCAGTGCTCCTGGCCTCTAGCCATCTCTTCAGACCCTGAGTATAGCATCTTAACAGACGCTACAAATGTAATCTGGGTGACAGCTTATGTTTGTAACCCCAGTTACTCGGGAAACTGAGGTAACAAGGATTTTCATGAGTACAAGCTAGCCTGGGCTACAGAGGGGACATCAGGCCCGCCAGGGATACACAGCAAGACCCTGTCTTGAAAATAACATATGTGTGCCTGCTTGGAGAAACCTCTCCTCACTTCTGCTATATCCCAGTCCATAAAAGCCAGGTCACAGAAACCAAGGTCACCTCTCTGGCCACACAATGGGAACCACCAAGAGGCAGAAACACCTGAGCTTTGCTTTGTCCCTTCTAAAATTCTGAGAATGGCTCAAGCATTACTAGTTTTTAAAAGACCCCAGGGTGTTGACTGGCACTCGGGACTAGACATCATGGAGGCTCAGTGACTGCCAGCCTGGAGAAAGGGAAGGAAGAAGACACTCAGAATATTCTTAAGCTGTAGTGCCAGCTTCTAGATCACCAAGGGGTAAGAGCTGTCCAGGTGCACCCCTTGGCTCTGTAGAGCTCAAGAATGGCAGGACAGTGCTGATCTGCTAAGGATGCAACAGACATTTGCCTTTGAACACTGGTGACTGCAGATTCCTGTGCCAGCCGCTGCCATTTCATCTTATTCCAGGTGTGTGGAAGCTGGCAGTGTGGCGAGCTCTGAGGTACCACTCCCTCTTGGTGGCTCTGGAAGTACTGTGATATTGTCTCACTCTTTGGAACACCAGTCCTTCCTTCTAAGTGGTTCCAGTAGGGTAGCAGGGTAGTGGGGCAGGGGTGGGGGGTGCCTTAGCAGGATGTGGCAGTTCTTTAATTGGTAGGAGATGAGGAGAGACCCATGGAAAGTGCAGGTTCCCCGGGGCAGCAATCAGGCTGACGGTTCTTCACCGCAGCTCCAGTACTAGACCTGCACCCAGGACATAGCAGATGCTCAGTTCATTCGATTAATGGGCAGTCAAGGAAAGGACAGGTGAGGACACGGAGCTGTGAGGTGAAGAATACCACATGTCACTTCAAGGAAGCCCAAAATCAGCAAGGGCCTTTAATTTTTCTAGGATCCAGGCAGGTGTGCTCCTCACCTGGAAAACTGCCTCAGCTTGGCTTCGATGCTTCTGTGCCGCATGCACATCCTGGTGAGTGCAGAGCCGATCTCCCGGGTACCTCCTGGAAAAGGAGCAGAGCCCAGTTGAGGGATGGGGACCAGCAAAAATCCTTGAGATCAAACACAAATCAGATTTCATCACATCACAGAACCTAAGCTACAGTCTTCAGTACTTTTCACTGTTCATGTGTGCACATACAACTACATATACATAAATCTATGTGCTGAGCATGTTCACATATCACCAAAACTAAGGTTACTCTTAATATGTTGAAAAATTCTATTCCATCTGATTTTTTTTTTTTTTTTGCTGCAATATTGGTTGGAGTCAGAAATCAACTTAAAGCCATTAATGAGACACAGTTTGAAAAACCACTTCTGTAGGTGGGATGGACAGTTCAGTGAGGTAAGGGAACCAAGCTTGACAATCTATTCGACCCCCAGGGCCTACATGGTAGTGGGAGAAAACCTACTTCCACAGGTTTTCCTCTGATCTCCACAGGAGCTTGCGGCACATGCACACACGCGCGCGCACACACACACACACACACACACACACACACACACGTAATAAAAACATATCTCATGAAAGATGACCAAAATAGTATCTAACAAGGAGAAACTGTAGATTTTTCCCATTCCTGCCCAAATAACCATCAAGAGTGCTTTATATCAGTTAAGGGGTCACTCTGGTTCATTCAGAGTCCAGTGAAGCCGCAGCAAAATGAAGGCACACAGTAGCTTTTAATGGGACACCATGGACAGGGGCCTTCATGTTCAGCAAATGTGGAAGTTTAATGTTCCTAGAATTCCTGTCATTCTTTCTCTTTAGGCACACCCTTCCCCTAAGATGACTTCTGAAGTTCTTCTATTCCTCCCCTTTTAAGAACAATTCTTGAATCAGCATTTGCTGGGACATACAGAGAACAAATTGCAACCTCAGATGGTAACTACACACGGGACCCTGGAAGGCACAGTCAGAAATGCCAGGGAAACACGGTGTTTGTGGGGTGTCAAATAAAACGCTATTTTTAACAAACAGGGCCTTCAAGGGAAAGTCACAGGCATTTACAGCAGGTTTAACCAAGCCAACAGAAAAGAATTACTCTTATCAAAGCTCTGCCCTCTCTTTCCGAAATGATTGCTTGTTCAGTTTCCTCTGTTTCCTACTTTATTCTGCAAAATTAAGAGGTTTCCATAAGCGAGTAATAAAATAGTGGCTATAAAATACTAATATTTCTATTTTTAAAAATATTTTTATTATTTTTATTTTATGTGTATGAATGTATTCCCTGCATGTATGTTAAGTGCACCCATGTTGTGCAATGCCCATGGAGGTCAGAACATGGTCAGAAGGCGGCGTCAGATCCCCTGGAAACGCAGTTATGAATGGCTGCCAAACCTTGGTCCTCTGAAAGAGCAGTCAGTGCTCTTAACCACTAAGCCAACTCTCCACCCCAATATTTCTATTTTTTTAAGCCCCCAAAGGGGACACTTTTCCAGGAAACGCCTCCAGTCCACTAAGTCGGGGCTTCTTAGCCTTCATATCAGTTGTGGGGCTATGCTGTATATTGTTAGATGGACAGCAACATCCTTAGCCAGTACCAGGATCCCCCTACTGTACCCACTCAGACCTACAACACCTGAAAATGTCTCCAAATGGTACCAGGTTTTCCCTGGAGAATAAAGATGACACCTTGCAGATAACCACCACTGTAAAAACTTACCAAGAAGTAAAAATCACTCCAAGACTGACCTTCTACATGGCCAGAAGACTTTTAAAAATTCTGCCTTTGGGGTCTGAGGCTGGAGCTCAGTTAGAAGAGCACTTTGCCTAGCACTCCCGAAGCTCTGGGTTAGATAAAACCAGCCAACACACACACATCTCAGCACTCTTAGAGATGGAGGCAGGAAGACCAAAGTTCAAGGTCATTCTCAACTACACAGCAAGTTCAAGGCCAGCCTGGGATTCAAGAGACTCTGTCCCCCAAAGAAACAAACAAAAAACCCACTTCTTGGCACCTATACCCAAAGTAAGACAATAAGGGTGGTTTGTACCTTCCCAGGGACCGCCAATAGAGGGCACTATTCTCACATGCTCCACCCACCTTCCAGCCTTCTTCAGGTTCTTAGGGTTTTTATTGTTTATGAGGAAGGGTGAAGAACACTTTATCCCCAGGGAAATTTCTCCTCTTTCCTGGGCCTTCTTTTGATTGCAAGTTAATAACCTGGCCACACAATGATATTGGCCCACTCATTCACTGCTGGTTGGAAGGTAAACTAATGCTTTCCTGGAGGGCAATCAATAGCACATACCAAGAAATGCCTTAAATACATACACTCTCTTTGACCCAGCAATTCTAATCCTAGGAATTTAACCTGAGAAATAATTAAGGAAGATGGCAAATCTTTACCAATGAGCAAAGGATTGAAATGTTTACAACACCAAAAAGCTTAACAAAGTCTCATCATAAGGAAATAGTTAAATAAATCCTAGGGTACAGTCACACAACTGAATAGCACAACAGCCATTTATTTGTTTTGGTTTTGTTTTTTGAGACAGGGTATCCCTGTAGCTCCAGCTGGCCTGGAACTCACTATGTAGACCAGGCTGGCCTCGAACTCACAGAGATCTGCCTGCCTCTGCCGCCCAAATGCTGGGACTACAGGCATACGCCACCATGCCCGGCTTACAATAGCCATTTAAAATGGAACTATGGAACTTGGTTGGTGTTTAGAATGTCTGGGAACTGGTCTAAGTACTCTACATATTAATTCATTCGATCCTCACAATATTCTCAGTTGTGTTGGTACTGTTACCAGGCCCATTTTATAGACAGGAAATTTAAGTAACATGCCCAAGGTTCTAGGACTAGTAAATGACAATCAGGCTGAGTATTCCAGCTTCATGTATGTCTTTATCCACATGGCTATGTGACACTTCATACAGAAAAAGGAGGTGGGAGGAGGCAGAGCCTGGTGTACACTTATGTCCCATTTCCTCACCAACCCACTAGTATGGGTATTAAGGTTTTGGAGAGCCAGCTCTCAAATGGTTCTTGAGCCCAGAGCTGTAACTGGTGCCATGAGGACTGGGCTCCATCCTGACAGAGCCAGTACAGAAAGTTCAGTGATGGGCCCCCATCCAGTGATAACCTATATTCCCATTTCCTTAGGTAGAACTAGGAGGTTGGAAAAGATCACTATGAAGGCCACCTCCTTCACTCCATTTTTCTGCCCCATTATTTCAGTTACCTTCCCAGCTATTCTCCATAGATTGATTTCATCCTCAGGAAAGCCCAGGGCTTTCCGAAAGCAGTCTAACTCTGGACCAATAACAAGCAGCTTCTGAACATAATGCCTATGCCCCACCTGTCTCTCTGCAGAACAGGAAGCCCCAGAGAGAACAGGAAATGAAGAAACTTAAAGAAAACTTCCAAACAGCAGTGTCTCTGTCCAATTGGAAGGAGGGCAGGAGGCAGAGGACATCTCCTGTGGACCCCAGAACCCAGAGTTGGGATCTGCTGATCCCAGCATCACTGGGCACCCTAAAAATAGATCGATCTGTGTAAGTGCTTAGCAACAGCTATGCTCTCCTGACCCTATTTAAAAAAAAAAAAAAAAAAAAAAAAAAAAAAACAACCCAGCAGGTTTGAATCAGAGGAAACTGGCTGGGGCCACAAAGACAGAGACAACATCTGGAAGAGGTAGAACTTGATGTGAGAATATTTATGGAATCACAAATGGCTGGTTGAAGGACCTGGCCACCTGAATGGGAGGACAAGATCTTGCTCACTTCTGAATTCCAGGCACCCTACACTGCTGCTAAAAGACCATTTACCATTTTGAGAGCAAGTCATCAGGCTGGTCTCCACCTGCAGGCTGGACCACCAATTATTCCCTATTTTTTATATCTGAGAGGTGTGCTTCAGGGGAGACAGGACACACATGTAACATGTGTGCAGGGGTGTTTCCCTCAATTGTTCTCCTCTCTAAGATTAAAGGCCTGTGCTATAAGTCCAGCTCTACCTTATTTCTTTGAGATAGGGTTTTTCACTGAACCTGGAGCTCAACAATTCAGCTAGACTGGCTGGTCAGTAAGTCCCAGGGATTTTCCTGTCTCTTCCTCCTCAGAGCTGGGGTTACAGGCATGGGCCATCACACCCAGCATTTTTACACAGGTTCTAGGAATTGAACTCAGGTCCTAATGCCTCTATGGCAAGCACTTTACTGACAGCCCCATAATTATAAATCTCCTATGGATATACTTTTATTATAAAGCTTTCAAAGATGCTAAATCTTAGAACAGGCCTGTATGGGTTCACAGTCAATCTAGACATGTGAGAGTATATTAGTTTCATACTGCTGCTATAACAAATGCTCACAAAGTTAGTGGCTTACAGCAAAACAGATTTACCATCCTACAGTTCCAGAGATTGGAAGTCCACAGTAAGTCTGACTGGGCTCAAATCAAGGTGCTGGCCGAGCTGTTTTCCTTCTGGAGACTGTAGGGAAAATCTGTTTCCCTGCTCTCTCCAGCTTCTCAAGGCAACCTGCACTCCTTGACTCATCATGGCCTCCTACCCCACCTTCGGAGTCTGAGGTGAGGCCCTAACCCCTGCTTCTGTCCCTTTATCGTCTCTCTCTGACTCTAATTCCTCCTCCCTCTTTTCTTATTGGAAGCCTTGCCATTATATTGGGCCCTTCCAGGATAATCTTCCTGTCTCAAGATCCTTAATGGAATCCCATCTACAGGCAGACTTTTGCTGATGTGATTTGGGATGTAATCACAGGTCCTGGGGATGACAGCATGAACATTATTAAGGTGCATTGTTATGTCTATTCAAAGATGGATAGGCACATAAGGAAGCCCCCTGTGGTGGACTCTCCAGTACCCATTCATGATTAAATGATGCTAAGTCCATTCCTTTTGGCAATGGCTGATTCAGGGATAGGAAAGAGACACAGAGAAAGAAGGCTACTAGGGAGGCTCTTGGGAAACATCAAAGAGGCCCACAGGGCCTGAGCAGGGACGCTGTGGATGCATTTGTCTTAGAATGAG